AGTAGATGATATAAATATATATTTAATGTAAAGTGTGTATATTGTTGTCAGTAGATGATATAAATGTATATTTAATGTAGTGTGTATATTGTTGTGTCAGTAGATGATATATATATTTAATGTAAAGTGTATATTGTTGTCAGTAGATGATATAAATGTATATTTAATGTAAAGTGTGTATATTGTTGTGTCAGTAGATGATATAAATATATATTTAATGTACAGTGTGTATATTGTTGTGTCAGTAGATGATATATATATTTAATGTAAAGTGTATATTGTTGTCAGTAGATGATATAAATGTATATTTAATGTAAAGTGTGTATATTGTTGTGTCAGTAGATGATATAAATATATATTTAATGTACAGTGTGTATATTGTTGTGTCAGTAGATGATATAAATATATATTTAATGTAAAGTGTGTATATTGTTGTGTTAGTAGATGATATAAATACATACTTAATGTAAAGTGTGTATATTGTTGTGTCAGTAGATGATATAAATGTATATTTAATGTAAAGTGTGTATATTGTTGTGTTAGTAGATGATATAAATACATACTTAATGTAAAGTGTGTATATTGTTGTGTCAGTAGATGATATAAATGTATATTTAATGTAAAGTGTGTATATTGTTGTGTCAGTAGATGATATAAATGTATATTTAATGTAAAGTGTGTATATTGTTGTCAGTAGATGATATAAATATATATTTAATGTAAAGTGTGTATATTGTTGTGTCAGTAGATGATATAAATATATATTTAATGTAAAGTGTGTATATTGTGTCAGCACCACTGGACGCCAGCAGGTGGCAGCAGAGTGCCCATCAGTCTTTGTTTATTGGAGCCACAGAGACAGAGGGGCCATGCCGCTCCGTGTCTTTGTCCCTGACACGGATTAACTGTCTCCCTGACAATAGCGGTGTCACTGACACCCACGCGCACACTCTCAGCTGTGGGAAATAAAATAATAGCAGCATTATATTTATTACCTCCCAGGTCGCTGCCCTCCTGCGTGGCTTCCTCCTCCCCGCTTATTATTAATGAGAGCAGCTCCGACTGCTCCGAGCAGCGGAGGTCCACTGGTTCGGTCTCCGCCGTCCCGTCCATCCCTGACCCGGCTCTGCCGCCCTCTCAGTCCGGTTCCTTCCTTCACGGGGTCAGCGCGCCGCGGCGGGACATGTTCACGTCACGCACACACCAAAAACATGTCACGGCAGGAGCGTGGCTCGGCTCGGCTCGGTTCGACGCGCATCTGGCAGGCGCTCTATAACGAGTCCATCTGTTTGGAGCCAGTGTCCCCCACCCCGCACCCCACGCGCGCACCGGCCGCACGGGAGCCGAGTTAACTTTTTCATAGACGGACTCGGGCCCGTTTTCCGCCGGTGGACAGCCTGGACCGGGCCGGACTCACCCAGCGTAGGCCTCCTGGAAAGTATTTTAAGGCTCTTGCTTGTCTTCTGGGTGGGGAGCCGGACTAGGGGCCCCTGGGGCTCCTTAAGGGGCTCCTGGGTAAATTTAAAGAGACAGTACTGTGGAGCGACGCGCACGCAGCCCGGGGGGGGAGCGGCACGCGCTAATGCCYATAAGCTGCTAATACTGTGCTGTTGTTATCATGGCTGTCCACGAGCTCACAGAGCCACTCACCCGGGCCTGGTCCGGACCAGGACCAGCCAACAGGTCCACCCAATGGACTGTCCCATTGGTAGCAAAATATCTCATCAGTGGACAGACTCACTGCAACTCCAACTAACTACAGCCTCAAATCAAGATGGCCGCCACCTCTACTGGGCCCCAGTTAAGAGTGGAAGTAGCTGATAGTCATCCAGACACATTATCTGAGCTCAACAAAAGTTTCTTAAACCATGCTATTAATTATTAGAGTCTGTTAGCAAAATATCTCTTTATTCTGGAGTTGGACCATTAAGATGCTGCCCTGCTAATCATGACATCACACTACAGCAGCTGAGGCTCATTGTGGTCAAAACTCATCATCTTTAAACGCTCTCTGAAATAAAACAGTAGGCAATTAGTCTGGAATATTTTTGTTAAATATTTATTTTGTATAGATCTGTTAATCGACTGATCAGAGCTGCTCAAACATTTTAGCTTTCAACCTACAAACAAAACCAGCAGACTTGTTACCCTATTTTTTATGTCTGAAACATAAATAGATAAAATTTAACTTCATCTATTAAATGTCTTCATGTTCACAGATTTTATCTCTTTCTAACAGTAAACAACAACAATAACAACTGAAACACTCAGGCTGAAAGGCCAGTGTAGACAGTTTAGGCCTTTTTGTGTAAATCACCAGCTTTTCACAACATTATATTGATTTGTTTGGATGATGATACAATATTTCTTTGTCACAAAGTTTGATACAGTTTTGATTCAGTTCATAAAACTACGATGGAGAGATAGGCATAAGATATTGATCCACATGTTGATGATATGAACTGATATTTTCATTTTGTATTTATTGAATCATTAATCATTTAATCAATGATGTGGATCAATGTGTTGTTTCACCCCTGATTAGATAGATAGATAGATAGATAGATAGATAGATAGATAGATAGATAGATAGATAGATAGATAGATAGATAGATAGATAGATAGATAGATAG